ATTTAATAAACCATTTCGCTAGAATTTAACAGATTAATTTTACCACACGGCTGTATTTTTTTTTATTAGTGCACTGTTTGCAGAAACGTCAACACAAACATCTATACAGTCAACACAAGATTCAACAGGCGGTGCTCTGTGTATTATTTCGAGACAAAACGTGTTATTTTAACAATTGTTAAACTCCGAAACAGTATTCTCCTTTTTAAACCAGATATGATAATTTATTTCATCTACCATCATCTATGCTTGCAAGTTATCTACATTGAGTCCATACAATTTGTTTATATTACACGGGCTATATTGGTAGCGTCATTTTTGTTTGTCAACAGTTTTTTTTCGACGTATCAAATTTTGCCTTGTATATATACGAAATTGCAGCTTCTCGCTGTTTGGCCGACTGTTATGTGTTAGATTTGAGTAGCCAATCATACAACATCTTGTAAGTAGCTTCGCATTGACTGTAGACTCTCCATTTACAGTTTGCACACCCACGTCAATGCTTATAATTCTCGGATAAACATCAGCTTTTTGCCATTTTTAAATTGATAAATTTGCTTTTAATCTGGTTTCAAAAATCGATCTCCTCGTTTGCCGAGTCGTATTGATTATATTTAATCTCACGTTCGTCGTTTCCTAGACAATTACCGCTTCGTACTCTTATGATGTATCGCACTAATTCAACCAATTTAGAAAATATTAATAAGCTTTTTTAAAAAAAAAATCTTTTGGAAGGTTTACTATAAACTAGTGCAATGTAATTAATTGATTTATATTAGGTCTTCTTTACTAACACTGAAACTAATAAATAAATGTGCTGTAAAGAAAATTGTGCACGTCGTCATAGTTGCGACACATGTTTAGGGGATTTTAGCATAAGCAAACTTTGTTTTTTCATGTATAATATCTATTTTGCTGGAGCACATTTAAATGTATTCACAGTCGTATAGATGAAATAAGTCTCATACCAGATGTTACAGTGAAAGAAGAATATGTACGTCTGAAATAATATAATTTTTTTTCATAGATATTCAGCATATTCAATATTTGTGGCCTATTTTCAGTATTCTTAGTAGTGTTCGATGTCTATTTTTTATCCTTGTGAATCGCAATTTCGCCTTACTTCTTAACAATGACAATATGTATCAATGATACGGCAGATCGGTATTTTGTCTTCAAAACTGTTGTGTGTTGTGTTTATGTTTTATGTCGCGTGAACGCTTGGAAAGATGTTATAATAATATTACGCGTACCGTTAAAGTATGAATGAAATGACGAGAATGCGGAACTAGCTTAAGTATAATCTGTTTGCATATTTTAAATCCACTTGTTTTTTGCAGATGTTTCTTTGTTATTTTGCAAACGACGAATGCAATATAATGAGGACTATACTGTTAGTTTTTTCACTCTTTCAAAATACCGTGTGTCGAGCACTCATTCGGAATACCGTGTGTCGATTACTTTTTCGAGCGTAGTTCACTTAATAGATCGGTGGCTGTACGATTTATTTCCAATTAAGATGTGGTTCCGTTGCTGTTTTGTGCTGCTTGTATTTGCGCTAATGATTTGTATGGCGACTGTTCCCGTTAAGGTAAGTATACACTTGAAAGTCCAGTTTGAAAGTAAGTATAACTTGAAAGTCCCGTCTGAAACAGTGCGTACAATTAGTAAATACCTACTTTACATACACAATGTGTGTTAGAATCATTGCGAGAAAGTGTGGCTATATGAACCCATATAGATATGAGTTTTAGTCAGAGTATAATTTACAAGGAATTGTTAAGGCAACGAGTGGCCCGTGATTAAACATGCTTGTTGCATGTATTTATCCGGATCGTGTTTTCAGAACTGATCATCGACCCACTGCTAATCTGCGCAAAAGAAGAGACATAAACAACCACGATGGGTTTTGTGAAACGAACCACCAACACTTAAGAAATACTATAAAGAACTTTGGTTAACCACTGTAAAATGAGTAATTTTTACTGGGTTTATTTTTTGCTGATTTACCATTTCAGGCATATTCAGTGGGTTTTAATGATTATGTATTCTATATTAAATTTTACATATTCACTGGGTTTTAATTTAGCGCATTTTCCAGTCAGCGAAATAAACAAAATTAAAACACAGCGAATAATTAATCCTTTTACAGTATGTTATACAACGAATTTGAACGTTAAAGTTCAACAAAGTTTTGCTAATTGTAAATGATTTATGTAAAATTGTAACCATATATTCACCCAACTCAAAACCAGTCTTTATTGAGTTTGTATCATACTTACAGACGGCACCGTCAACTGAAATTGCGGAGAATGGGGCCCACCATGTAGCAAAACGGACAGGTCAGCTAGTCATTTTACCATTATCCTCCACATTGAATGTGTTGTTTTATACTTATTAATAATAGGCGTCCTGCTCGGTAAACTGGATTTGAGTTATTCGTTATATTGAAAGTCAACTATAGCTTAAACTGTTTCCAATACAACATGTTTTGGTCACATCGAATTTGTTGTTTATTGTGTTCAATATGAATGTCTAATGACTGATTTGTCCCCATACTATATTATCATCTGTAGGAGACACTTATAACTGTAAAATCGAATGGATAGAATGCACTAAAATACGCATTGCAATACAGATTATAATATACATTACGTCTGCCAACGATGAACCATTGACACATGACCTTGTTACACCGTACACTATCGACGACGAGAGTGATAACACAGTTCTATGGAGCGGAGATATGGTATTGCCTGCTGGCGAGATGTCTGCCAGTACCCCCATCATCGATCTGACGAGCACAATCAGCACTGTGTTTGGACTTGACTTTATTGACCCATTTCTTCACAAAGCAATCCACGAAATTCTTGGGAAATGTAAGTCAGTATACTATAAAAGTGTAGAAATAAATAAGCTTTCGATTAATCTTAATTTGAATTTATTTTGTATCCCCAATGTACATTCTGTGATGTTTAAAAGGCGCTGAATGTTCGTTACATCAAGTCTCCCATTTGCATTCTTTGAATGTACTTTTTAATTTATCTATAAATGTTGTTTAGGTGGCCATGGCACCGGCGATCCACATATGATGACATTTGATGGACGTAAATTTACCTTCAATGGTCACTGCTCCTATGTGCTATCAGAGGAGTGTGGCAATATCGACCCGTCTTTTCAAGTCACAGCCGATTTCCGAGGTAAAAATCCTAATACACCATATGAGCCACCGACGAGAATGGTAGCATTTAATATAACTAACTATGGAAAGCAATTGGTTCGTATAAATGAAGACAATTCCGTATTGGTGAGTTTTGATATTCGGATAAGCTTTCCCTTCATACTACTTCTACGTGTTTCTTAAACATTCTACTGTTACAGTAACACCGCTGCTGTTGTTTTGTATTGAACATGAGGAATATACTATATGGATGTCACACACCGTTTGATACATTGATATATTACAATTATCCCTTGAAATTGTCATTAACATAATAACACAAAGCGCTAAGATCGATAAGTAGTTTTTTTAATAGTTTACACACCTGAAGCGTAAATGTAAACGATAGTAATTCTCTTCATAGATTAAGGGAAAAGCTTTGACTACTCATAGCGGTCGTATTGGTGACAATGAAGGATTTGTATCGCGTAGTGGTAGTAACGTTACAATATACTTGACCCAACCTTCCGTATCACTGAATTGGAACAGAGCTATACACGGTATAACTATTGGCTTGGATGATGCCGACTTGTTTGGCAACGTATGTGGTCTGCTCGGAAATGCGGATGGCGATCCACATAACGATTTTGTCATGCCAGACGGATTCAGAACATCCGATGTTGATATGTTTGGTAATAGCTGGGAAGTCAAAGGAAGGTAAGCATAACACCTCTTATTCATAATGTGACATCTATTGGACTATCAGTGAACCATATGAAAAACTAGTTCAATCTCAGAGCGCCTGAAGCAATGTACTAATATTATTGTCCTTTTATTTTTTAGCTGTCCATAGAACAAATATGTCATGAATCAACCATTATGGAACCAAACCTTGGATATACAATTACAGATATTTAGATTTCTAGATGGTGTTAATTTAACTTTCTTTGATATATAACGACACATACCCACCGACGAATGCAATTATTACGTAGTGGGCTTTACTGTTGTTATTGTTATTGTTTTCTTCATTTAATCTCAACCATTTACGTTATAGTTTTCGATAGAACTTAAAGACATATACACTATTATGGTTATACATTGCTATACGTATATGGTGCAAATATTTCATGTGACACAACATTTCAATCCAAGGGTACTTCACAGATAATTTATAGTGATTACATAACTCGGGAGTCAAGGATAAGAAATAAATAATTGATTACTTTCTACTGCAACTCAAATCTTAACTGTTTAACACACGAACAAGTATTTTGACATAATCTGTAATTTATCTGTAACTTATTACTAACTTCGGGTTTAATATGTCTACATTTTTGTTTCAAATCTTAGTACTGAATTAACTACTTCTGTTTATGTAATTAATATTACGTATATGTTTATTTAATATTAAATTTAACTTGCTGGTATACGTGAAATTTGCATTTTTTGTTCGCATTAGGTAACATGCTAAAATAGGTTTTCTTTTTATGATTTGTGTTCCCATTTTTTTAACTATTTTCTTTGTCAGATTTACGAGGCTGACGTTGCACTGTCATAAAGACAGACTGAACGCAACCGAACGTAGGTTGTGTGCATACTCAGATGGGATTCGTCGGGACTACTTCATTTGCATAACCAACAATGTCCACGTTATTTAAATCAAATGGGACTTCAATTTCCAATTTGTGGCGCTTCTTCGTAGATCATAAAAAGTAATAACGATTATTGAATCAGTTCGTCCTATGGATGTTAAAAAAGGTTAAAACATAAAACTAAATGGGTTGGTAAATAATTACGAACTCTTGGTGTGTCCGAATTTGTCACAATCACAACATTTCACGATTGAAAAATAAAGTACTCCCGACTGGATAGCATGATATTACGTAGTAAATGTGATTGTTTTGTAGCGGCCGTATCCGTCCGAGCCGCAGGTAGAGAAGGATACTATTAAATGTGGATTCGCAACTGTGGAATTACGGGGGGATTATACATATCATACTCGTAGGCACAGTTTGTGAAGCGTAAAGAAATTTCTAGGAGGATTGTTTTGCCTGTTATCGAAGAAATGATGGGACTACTTGACTAACGCAAAATCTTGTTAAGCACTATTTACTGAACGCACAGTCAAACGCCACTGTATAACTTCGCCAATATTCCTTTGATTTCGATTCGTGCCAAGTTTTCTGTTTAGTACTACGTTACGAATATCATAACTTGCGACATGTGCTATTAAGACTGAGTGGTTGAGTATCTGTGTTCTAGTCTGATTTACACTGGAAATGATTTATAAGTGTTCATACATATAATCGGGCAAATATGCATAATTTATAAGACAGTTTATTCGGTATTTTAACCAAAATAAAAAAAAGCAAACATTTATTTTAAACAAGTTATTACATGGAAAGAAAACAATATCAGCTGTAAGATAATTTAATCTGTGAGATCAACTACAGAACAATATTTCACACCATCAGCCCCAATATCCAGGCAAATATCGCCCGCTTTTAAACTTCTTAAACCGGGGTGAATTATCAAATATAAGTTGACCCCTGAATATAGATTATTCCCGGTCTCATTCATGAATTTAAACTGAAAAAAATTATTGTACATATCAGTAAAGGCCTGAGTAAATTTTAAATTACTATTACCAGTGAAAATTGCTATCGTATTTTTTGGTATATTCTATGGAGTGGTTCCCGTCGTGAAATACGCAATTAGCGCTAATTCTGGCTCGTTCAGCAACGAAATGGGGTGAAAATATAATTTTATAGTAATAATGTACCAGTCATTGGCAACCCCAGCACAAGTCGTGTAAAATACACAACTGCCACATAATCCCTGCTTCCACGAGAAGACTGAAAACACATACATCCCCGATTTCTATATTGATACATATACAACCTGTATTGTTAACTATATTACATGTCAAATGCCAGGAAATCCCGTTTTAGTTATTTGGAAACGGAGTACGACGACAAAGTACTCATCAGACAGTACGCGTCGCGTCGATCTCCGCTGCGCGTCGGTCAATACTCTTGCTGTGCTGTCTTCGTGCATACATTGAGGTATCTTCGTAATAACCTCATACTTCTCATAATTTAAACACAAGCTCATATGGGACGACCAAAATGAGAACCGTTACAGTGACTGCCCTGAAATAGTCAGACAGTTGGTCTGAAATAAACAACTAATGAAACCATTGCGACTCACAAAAACATTTGTACCTTGCTGTTACAGTATACGGGAGATGGCGTCATTATATTTAAAATGGAACCTGGTATTCTGTGCTGCTAAAGTTCACAGTACTGCATATAAACGCTTACCAATTATCCGGTATTGTAGGCCTTTTAATGTGTCATTATCCCGATACAATGTTTTTGTATTAATTTTTTGGGGCTCGGAACAACCTCCTAAAGTGTACCGCTTACCATCATTCAGTGTCGCCAGCCGTATCGGGTGTGCATATTATGTTTAACGTGTAAAAATTCTTTCTATAATTACATTTATCTTATTCACGTAAGGTTAATTGTTTAAGGGGATGTATATATACTTGATATATATATAATTTGAGCAGCCTTTTTGGCATTTTTATGTGACATATGTGACCTAACATATATACACTTTATTCACTGATAGATCTAACAGAAGGAAGAGTTATAAAAAGGGTTCGTGAAAATATTAATACTGTCAATCAGGGATTAGCTATTATTGCAATATAAGTTGTTTACACTTTTGTTCACGATATCGTACTGTGAATGTATAAAACGAGTTTAGAACACATTTTTGTAATATAGAAGAAGTCTTTTATAATTTAGTTTATTAGGATTTAAAAATGATAATACATGAATCACTGAGTAAAACTCGAATGTTTGATTGTCGGGGGTATTTTGAGTAGCTAGTCCAGTTATCTGTTAACCTATCTCTCTTTGGTAATGTCCTTAAAAATAATTACAATAATATTGTATTAGCAAACAAACATGATCTTTGTACACTTTCAGGTATGCCAAGCTATGGCAACACCACTGTCTGACAGAATTTTAGTTCAAAAAGGCACATAGACAAATCTTATGTTTTATTTGCAACTAAAATAATATGTTGGAAATACTTTAACTATCATTGGTTAGATTAAATTCAAAGACAATGAGGTAAAGTGGAGCAATATCGATTTCCCTATCACAGAGCGTGCACACAGATTCACAGAGGTATTTTTCAGGCGTCTGTAAAAGTTCGTAAACATTGCAGAACATTGTTTGAAAACATTAGCAGTTGTTTTGTAGAGAAATGTAGTCTTGTGTGTAATATTATAATAAGTAAGATGTGACGTGAAAGAAAAGTACGTTATCTGTTTCGCAGAACATGGAATGGAAGACAAAAAAAAAACCGTAGAGTGGAATTGCCGAAAACTTCGGAAACATGGAAACCTCGGAAAGTATGGAAACCTCGGGAGCATGAAAAGTTATAGGATCTAATTCAAATTCAATCAATTCAAAACATTTAAATCATTGAAAGATTCAAGACCTTTCTACAAACGAAATTGAGAAAATACGGGATACTCGCTTGACTCGTTAGCAAAGGTCATGTGGTCAGGTGATAAAATCAGCCAATCAGCGGATGATAAAATATCGTCAGCGGCCATTTTGACTTTCTATGGCATTTGACGCCCCCAAGAGGCTGGATTTTGCGCTTGTTTGAGGGCAATATATTACATTGCAATCATGAACGACATTGGAGGAAAGGGTTAGGGTTAACCCTTGCACTAACCCTAACCCCTAACTTATTTTTTTTTTAATTTTGGTTACTGCCAATTTCAACTTTTCCGAGGTTTCCTGCAATTCCACTCTACGCAAAAAACACACAATCAAGGGGGACATGATTGTTGTTCTGGTATTATTGCAGCTGAACGAATTCCAGAACAAGGATCTAAATATATTGCAGAAAAACCTCACTGATTTTATGATGCTACGTGTTGTGTCACATGTCATTTCCGCTGTTGATGTGTATTATCACCAAGCCTACCTACGGTTTGCTATCATTCAGCTATCAGCATTGCGCAAATTCAATCAAAGATATACATTCCAAAAAGAAACACACTACTTTATTATAAACAAAAATCATTCGTGACATGCATTTCTTTTGAGTGAGCTTCTCAAATTTGTGGTGCATATGTGTTAGGGTTTTTTTCTGGAAAAATCATTCAACAATAATTCAAAAAACCCTGACATAAGAAGACTTATAGATGAGTTTAGTTTCCATTAGCATTATAATTCATGCAGCTGACAACAATCCTTGTAAATATGCCAAAGTTACTCTTCATGGCTGTTGTCTAATTGGTGAAGATCTTGCAAAAGTCTTTGGTCGGATGGTCAGACACAAAGTTGAATCACAGAAAGATGGAGCAAACATTAGCCATGTTTAAGTAAAGAGATATACAGCCGCTTGGACCTGGGGCCTCTTCCAGATACGTGCGATGTGATATTTTACACGCTCAAGATGATGAGTTAACAACTCACTGCACTAATCATACTGTATTTGAGCTCCTGAAAGATGCACATAGCATACTATTGCAGAATGCTCAGAGTTATCACTACAATTTGAGTCTGATCTTAAAATGCAAGTGTGGGATGTTCTTGGGTACACTTTAAGAAATCGATGTGGGCCATCGAAATAGCCAAAAAAAATAAGTTGCTTAAAAAATCAAGACATGGGAAATCACGAGGTTCTTCAATTACATCGAATATGGACTGCATTTCAGATTTAAATACAACAAAGTGTGTTTTGAAATACCAACCCGCGACCAATGAGACTCATGATTATCCTTTGTGTAAGGTGTACATTGATCTTCTGGAAATGATCTGCTGGGAACTTGGCATTTCTCATATCTTTGTTCATGTGGATGGAATAGTTTATACAAGCCTGCAAACTTAATTTGGAGACTCTAGTCTTGTACATACAAATCTTAGTAAATTTCATTAGTCACGTGACCTAAGAAGATTTCCACAAATATAATGTTTTGAATTGTTTCGTCAACCTTCTATAATTTCACAATCCAGTGCGAAAACTAAGGTCGATTGTTGAGAAATACATCCTTTTCTATGTGTACTGCATGTATATTCGTTTCAAATGCTTTGTGTGTAAACGATTTAGCGATGTAAACAAATTGCTAATAACACCACCGTGTACTCTTTGGCTATGTCATTATTTCTATTGACGAAATCCTTATAGTACAACTCATACCAAGGAACCGGTGTAGCCAAACTGGCGGCACACGATGGGGGAAGGCTGTACTGGAAATCTCGGCGTACAAAAATGCACAAATTGTGCAACATTGAAAAAATATCAGTAATTTTACTCATTAAATGTATCTTTTTAGTTGTGTACCATACCATATTGTACATGTTTCAAAACATTACCAAGTTGTGTACAGTGGCACTAAACCTGACCGTGTAGATTCTGAAAGTAGTCCGGTACCATATCACACTGACTCAAGATTTGCTAAACAAATAATGAATTTGGAAAAAGTGTTGTTGGCTTCATATGATGTCATTAAACATCATTTAGAATGTTGTATAATGAATATATGCATCAGCCGCATTACCACCAGTGAATATTGTGATTCCAAATGTGACTAAAAATAATACAATATGTGTAAAAGACGTCACCAAACATTTTTGCCAGTTCGCATATAGGTCAGTGATACATTCATTACCAAACATATTACACGTTTATAGGCTTATTTTGACTGAAATAAATGGTGAAAAACACAAACCCAGTCATCGCCATACACCATTTTCAAAGACGTTTGCATATCGTCACACAGCTCACTAAAACCTACATTTACAGTAACAATAATTCCTGTAGTCAGACGCCTTACAATAATACTGGTCATTTTCTGGTGAATAATGAGTAGTGTTCATGATATAAAAAACGAATGAATTCTTATTCCAGTAATTTGTTTTTTAAATACTTAAAGTTATACAATACAAATAAATGAACCGCCTAGAAAAATATCGCGGTTACCTACCTTTTTATGGACCAATTAGTGCGCTATGTCAGCGCCCTCTATTGTGATTTGCTGAATGCATATATAACTGTAAAGCCATGTGTAAGCGCTCTGTGAGGTGGAATAATCAGCGCCCTCTAAAGTAAACTTTTAATGTGTTATTGTTTATACTGTTTGCAGTTATGGGTGGGCGCTGTGACATTTATAAGCCAATATTTATGATAGTGGCTGTTGTTTTGTTGTGGCTAAAATTGAATGCATTGAATATTAGTATATCCGTTCGACTGCTCAGAAATCTTGCAGAATTATATAGCTGTTGAAACACATTTTTACCTCGGGGCAGTGTTATCAGATGTTATTATGTTACAAAGCATGTATTCACTCAATGCGATAACAGTCCCGTAACAAACAATAATTTGCTATTTTGCAAAAAAATCATTACGTTACATTACTCTTACAACATTACTTGTTGTTGACACAAATCTGACAAGGACGCCCCCAGATGTATTGGACATTTTAGAATCAAATCGGATGTAGTAACTATTTTAAATTTAATTACACGTCGAGTGCCAAAAGATAAGCATGCATATTTGCTACATCACGTTTTTTGTACAATGTATGGATGTAATAAATGATGAAAAACACAAACCCTGTCATCACCATACACCATTTTCAAAGTAGTTTGCATATCGTCACACAGCTCACTAAGACCTACATTTACAGTAACAATAATTGTTCAGGGGGAAATCAGATGAAAAGATGGAACATTGCTCATCACAAACCTGCTCTAATTCTTATGCTTCGAAGAATGTTGAATTTTTTCCTGTACATAATGCATCCTTGTGATCACATCTGCCAATTATGGTAATCAGGATACACTCACTAATGGCGTTGTCGCAGCTTTTGCAAGCGTGCTGCCACGGCGACATTTAACAATTGACTATTTGCATTTAAAACATATGTATATAT